GCTTTGTCCGCATTGAAGTCGACAAAACTGCAACGAAAGCAGCGGAAGCTCCTCGGCCGAAGTCCCCTTTTAGGGTGAAGAAAAGTTTCTTATTATTTTTGTTTTCATTTTCTGATTCGGATAATTTGCTTGCACACACAGTCAGTAATATTTTGATCATATGACAAATTTTTCATTAAGATACATGTACATAATTTTCTGCATCCAAATTTTTGTTGACTCTCTGTTGGTGTTTTTTTTTCAATATCGAGCCTCTTATAATTTGTTACATAGTTGAAGTAGTTCTAGAGAATTTGTGTCTACACTTAGTCCATCTGAAGTGTCACTTTAAAAGCTGTAGTTTGAATGTCAAAGAAGTTAATTTCTAGGTTGCTGTTGACAAACTTATTGTTCATTTTTAATTAATTGTTTTTCAATACAACACAGTAAGTTTTTCTTTATTATTGAGTTGATGTGTATGCCTTTGGCAAAGCTAACATCTGCCTTATCCTCTTGCCTTTTCAAAATCAAAGGTGATGATACCTGTGACAGTAATACAGTACGAAATGTGTACATCAACATGTGCCTCCTACAAATAAAGACTTGTTGTTGTTTTTTTTGATACACTGTGGTTCAATTCGAAATAACAGCTCCGTAGTCCTGTGGTTTTAGCAGCATTTTTTTTTGGCAGGATTTTTTTTCGCCCTCTCCGTCGCATTAGTTTTGGGGTCTTCAGAGGATGTCATCCATAAAATTAAATCAGTGTGGCCTAACAATATGTTACATACTACTGACCGATTTACGATCCGATGATCAATTTGAAAGGCTTACCTGTTTCATATTACCGGGTGTGACGATGATGGAGTATATAAAATAGGTCACAACCCAATGCATTGAGAAGACCGCCATCAACCATCCCAATACTTCACCCCATACCGGGTAGTGGTAGTCCTCACCGTACATGGCACCACTGTATGACACGAAGCTGAATAGCTGAATTAACTAGAGACAAAAACAATGTAGGCGTGAGTTGTAACAATGGTGTATACAGCATTAAGAATCCACGACTGCAATTACGTTATACGTCTTCGTTGCTTTATATTCACAGACTGTCATACAAGCGGATTCCAGATACGGTATGGCAATAACACTACACGTTCTGTACACAAATACGGAAAAATACACAAATAAAATAATACAATGCAAGATATATTGGAACTGATTCTTGCAGGTTTTTTCACAGTGTAAATTGTTTTGTCATACAAATTTGTATATTAATTGAGGGCATTGGGGCTCTATGTAGCAGGTTATCCTCGTAAAATAAGCTTCAATAAATAATTAAATAAGATATATAATCTTTCTAAAATACGATTTAATTGCCTGCACATCATTCTGTGATAATCAATGATTTCAAATGAACATTTGCATAACACTATTTAAAAGATTATAAAATTGTTAAGATTATATTAATTATAGTCAACGTCGCAGGATGAACACGAGACAGTTGTTTCACAAACTCACTACTTTGCATTATTTGAATTAAGGTATTTTCTCTAGATATTTGTGATCATATTACGTGACTTTTCCCAATTGGCGTATGATCTTCATCGCATACCTCACACTAACATAATATAATCTTATAAACCAACAATTACTGCTCTTGAAAGTGGACATGATTGCGTGATACTGTCAGTGATACTTACTATAAGAATAACGGGGATTGATAAACACCAGGAAATTGGCCAAAAATACGAAGGTTTTTTCTGCAGCATGTGGTGCATTCCACGCATAAATTTCTTTATTCCATAGACATAGCATATAGTAATACATTCCCAGAGTGCCACCCATAGTAGTACGTAGCCACCGGCACCATATACATTAAGCAGCTCAAAGAAATAGATGCCAGCCTAAAAGACATTAGTGTTCAGAACAACTCAACGTGAAAACAAATAAATGTGATTGAAATACAAATATTTTGTGCAATATGGTTTCCTGCTCAATAAGTATCGATGAACGAGATGAATGATGTACGTACGTTTGTAAGACACGGTAGCGCCACAAAGAAGTAAATAACACACAGTATGGCCAGACACAATGGTCGATGTTTTCTCAGATACTTGGGGTACTCGTCACAAAGGCATGTATAGAATCCTTCTACCACACAGAACTGCAAAGAAAGAAATGTTTATTTATTCATTTATACTAATATTTTATTAATTATTATCAATACTAGTACATTCTATTAATTAATAAGAATTATTAACATTGATTTTTATACTATCGTCTTATCGAATACTGTTATAATATGTTGATTTACATTTTTAGAATTTTAAATTCTAAAACATGTTTTCATTTACTGTATTGATAATTTCTGTTCCTTCTTTACACAAGTTGAACGTTCTATTCATAGTTTCTAATGGACTAAGGTCATTTCATGTTGGATAAAATACCAGCCTGAGAGAGACTAACTTATGCACCTTGTGGTTGAAATCAAAATACACAATAATACTTGAAGTCATGTCGTATAGTAACGCACGAGGGCTCTGTGATCTCAAGGTTTTCATTCAAGTGTTAACCACCAAATACAATAGAAATGGTTAGTTATTACTAGAGCGTTCCCATGCATAAAGGGTTTACTTCGCACTGACTTGCTGGGAACGTACAACTTTGGTATACATAAAACATGCAAGGCGCATATATCGACTCGTGTAACAGCTTACTACTTTTATGTCAATAAATTTTCCTGAAAGTACCTTAACAGGCAAGCTCCCATCCCAAATTCAACTCATGCACCCATTAAACAACACGAACATCCTAGCCAAATAACCCAAGTAAGTCAACTACAGCCCTTTTCATACACCCAATGCACTGCGTGATTTCAGAAAACAATTATATGGGTGTTATTTATATGTTGATAGCCTGTACCTTCATAGCCCATGTGTGTATTCACCACAAACGTCTCCACATTCATAATACATATATGAAAATTATTTCTTTTGTATCTGATATGTGATAAGCATGAATGCGTTCACAGAGGAAACCCTTACTTTTACGTACCTGACTATCCAGTCCAAGAAGTAGCAACATGAAAAAGAATAATATCGACCAGAATTGGGCACCTGGCATTTCTGCTATTGCTGTTGGTACTGTGATAAACGTTAATCCTGGACCTGTACCGGTGCAAATCACACGTTATAAACTCATTATTTTCAGATGGAACTTCTTTTTTAACTCAGCGTTGGATAGTACACATCCCAAGTGTTGAGCATTGATGTGTCGACGCTACCCGAGTAATTTAAACGAATGCAACTCGAAACATTTCTTACAAATTAGGTGCAGCTAGTGCGTTTGAATCGCGCAACAATGAAAGTTCCTGTCAAATTTCAATAATTCTCGAACCAACCATGTGTAATATGTTGTATGTGAGTTGCAACTATTTCGTAAATCATCGTAATCACACATTGGTAGAATGATGGGTTAGAAAAGGTGATACGTGTCACAAATTGAAGATGGCATTGTGCTTGTGTCATGAATTTGTTTTTGCGTATCTGTTAACCGACTTAATTAGCTGATTATTAGCGAATTGCTGTGTTATGTCTGTCATCGTGTAGGCCTATTTGAAGTTTTGAACGGAACTTGGCTCAGTGATTTGGAACTAATTACCAGATAACCGCCGCTTTTTAGACTACTCATTCTGACAGTTTATATTTATAGTTATTAATG